GGAAGAGAGGAGCTATACCTCCACTCACCCCAAGCGCCTTTACGGCACGTAGCGGGACAAACTTTACTTTACTTTAGCTGGCATAACTCTTCTTCCCAGAAATCAGGGAATAACAAATTATCGAACCTGCTCCCCTCCCACACACAGAATAAAATTTTATTATTTGTGCTTGTGACTATCATGACAATGAACAAGTCTCTGTTACCAAAATTATTTATCCTAAATAGTGTAACATTTCTCCTCAGCTTTTTATAATATTTACAGGATATGAATCTGTGTATCAGGATGTGTGAAAGATATTTGCTGTCCTAAAGCTTGATGATCACTAATGAGAAGTGGTTCCATATGTTCCAATGATTCCAGTGAATCTAGAGAATCTAAGAAGATTTCCATCTTCTCCAGTAAATTTGTTGCTACTCCAGCAAATTCTTCCCACATTTGATAATGCCCGGATGCAGCCAGTGCCTCATTTACTTCTGTACCTTCTACAACTCCAAACAAACGCTCCTCATCTGTAACACAACATGAATATGGTAAATCTTTACAGAGTTCCTGACCTTGACAGATCACATATAATTCGTGTCCCTGGACTGAGTAATAATATCAGGGCTCCCAACTATCATGTATGTAATTCTTTACGATCTGTGTGTCTGTACCACCAATGAAGATCATGGCTGTATTGATGTCTATCAAGAGAGTATTGAAAATACTTCCTACTCGTAACTTTTAATGGGAACATACTGTAAAAATTAGCACTGACAGGATCTGCCCCATTGATAAACCAGAGGAAAAAAATACTTACCAAGGCCTCCAAAGAGATTGACAAAATATTCTGTGTTGTAATATATGCACTGCAGTAATGTGTAGTCTGGTAGAAGTTTACCAACATTTCAGAGGTCCTTGCTGCCTCCATCATCAGGATTTGTCACCCTGATGATGGAAGTGACGACGACCTCTGAAACATTTATAAACTGCTGTGGGAACCTGAGATTCTGCTTGTAACATCAGTATCTGGAAAAGTAGGCCTGTTATTTGGTGGTGATGATTCTGAGGAAATCTTGGCGATTAACCTTACCTAAAAAGTCCACCAATATTGCCAGCAAGTGGTTTGTTTCATCGATTCCCAAAGCCGCATGAAGATTTGTCGATTCAGTACAATAGTTCCAAAGTGTCTGACATATCAGTGTGGCCAGCTGCCAGTCTCCTTCACCAAATTTATTTAATACACTAGTCAGCCTGGAAATTAAATATAACATTTCACAGAAAACAGATTTTTCAGTGCATATTTCCAACTGCTTTATACAATATTAATGTCTTCATTTTTTTTTAAATATTATCCCATTAACTTCAGTGCAATACTGAAGCAGTCAACATGTAAGAGAACACTGCAGTCTCTTCTTTTTCTCAAAATGAACTTATATGAAAACTGATTTGGTACGCATTCTGCGTTAGGTTAAAACACTGATAAATGATCAAACCACAGGCAGATACAAACAGAGGTGTAGTTCAGAATTTTCATTCAAATTATTCACTTACCCTTATAATAATCATTAATGTTTTCAACTTAACAACAAATTGTTAAAATCATGCTGTGCTGCGTATTTCTCAATCACAAAAAATACAAATACCTTAAATTTAAAACAATTCAACTGAATCAAAGTACCAGATGATAAACTATATTCATATCATGGGAGGGATCAAAATATTTGTAACTTAATCCTTGAATGTTGTGGGAGATTTAAATATTATGCACTCCTGTAGATCGAGAATATTAAAGCTTGAAAATACAATATTTCACTTGTTACAATAAATCTGAAAAAGAATTGTTAAGAAAACTATACAAAATCAGAATACTGGAAGCAAACTGTTTTAGAATTAAATCTGGCACAGTAAAGTTACAAGAGTTAGCATCTGTATGCCTAAACTCTTTCTGGCAATTTAAGTAAGAACTGGAAGTGTTTGACGATAAACGATCATTGCACTTGTGAAAAAGACTTCCTTTCACTTTGACTGTTGAAAAACTGGCATGAGCATGTTACAACATGATGTGGCCCTTGTATAGTTACAGTGATATTGTATGTATATTAATACAATCAAATTGAATTGAATTGCAACCAACAACAAATATTTTAATATTGGTTGTGTGACTTTTGGATCACTCTGTATATTCCCAGGTATACCACATTTATACGACTGAAATTCTCAATTATAACATGCATCTTTTATCTTTATAAAATTTTTTGAGGTGTTTGTATTTAGACAGATATGGTATTGTAAAGTTTATTTCCTGATTACATATTTTCTTCATTAGTAGGATCATATTGAACCCTCTGCATTAATATGTCAGCACCATAAAGCAAGGTACGCTGATCCTACACAACTAAGGGTCCGGTAGTAGTATTAGGCATTAAACTTAGTGTGTGTAAAGGTTTCTCAATATTTTAGGTACCTAAGATCTGCAATAAACCCCAACTCTAAGTCATACTTATTCATAATTAAGCAGTTCATGCATCATGTTCAGTCGCATGTTTTGGGTTTTATCATTTTCTGCATAAATAAGAAACAATCACACAACTTTTCATGGACTTATGTTCAAGAAGAGATTCAGAAACCCTGAAGAGAGAAACACTGTGAAATATGTAAGATTTGAGGTTTTCACAGCGGCGAGTATGAAGATTTCTGTCTTCTGGGTTGTTGCGCTGTGTAGTCTGGTCGATGTCAACCAACGTTTCAGAGGTCATACTGCCTCCGTCATCGCCCTGGTGACGTAGGCAGTATGACCTCTGAAACGTTGGTTAACATCGACCAGACTACACAGCGCAATAACCCAGAAGATGGAAATCTTCACCGTGAAATATGTTATCAGAAACAGCACATCATGAACAGAAACATTTTCTTTCACACTTATACAATGGACATTTTCAGCACAAAGGCGAATTATATTGCGCATGTGAAATTATTCTGGATGATAATTTTTTTTCATTTAAATAAAACTAAAATTTCCATCACATACCTTTCTATGCCATGGCCTTCTTTCAGAGCAATTCGTTTATCCCAATCTGCCATCATGTTTACAAGAATTCCTATAGTTGTACAAAGGAGTTCCTGGTCATCCCAGTTCAAGAACTTTAGTAACTGATTCCATGCACCACTCTCAAGAAGAAAGTCTCGAGTGTCTTTGGATCTAGTCAAGTTTCCAAACACCCTCGTTGCTTCCACCAGACAGTCCTTGTTGTCTGTGTTTAGCAGGGAAGACAGAGCTGAAAAATTCAGTTCTGTTCTTAGCTTTCATTCATGGGATCATTAGGCCAACAAAAAACTCAATAATCAAATGTAATCTGGACATTCACTTTTCATCTACTGAAGTGGCAGTTAATTTTCTACTAATGAAGAGAAATGGGGGGACTGACAATAATACAAGCAGATGGACAGAGTTAAATATAGTTTTCTCACACAGGATGGAACCGACTAGTTCTCCATGCAATTCAATGTAAATAAAACTAATTTATTGTTCCACTCAGTGGATGCAATAAACAAAAATTTAAGCAGCACACATAGAAAGTTAATATTATGAAAAATCAACAATTCTGTCTCATTTGGTACCTCACATAAAAAGTAAAAATGTAGTATTTGTGTCAGTGAACATTATGGCTTACTCTACTATGAAGGCCAAAACAGCTGATTAATTATTCATAGTTTATGTAATGTTTCTTAACTGCATCGGTTGTACAGTATTTAGTTTATGTAATGTTTCTTAACTGCATGGGTTGTAGAGTATCAAATTATAAGCCTTTTAATAAAATGATCATGTATCGTGAATAAGTAACACTTTGAAATTAAGAAGTGTGGACTATTTTAAAGTATTTAAATATTAGTTATATTTATTTAGTTTTTCAGTTGTCAACCAGGCCACATATTATGAGGAATTTTATTTAATGCTGAAATTTTCTGCTGAAGTACACAAAAGTGTTCTCATGCTCCGTGCACGTATTTTAACAAAGTAATTGTTGATTCTGGCTAAATCACTACTTTTGAGGACAGATTCACCAGTTCATCTCTGATGAGAGGATTTTATTTTGAGTGATCATCCTAGTCCAAGAACTTTAGTAATTGACTCTCAAGAAGGAAATCAGTAAAAGAAATTGCATAGTGATATTGTGGCTTGAAGCACAGAATAATCACAACAGCATCCCCCAAAATGAGGCTTCAGCATAGACAGAAGTGAAAAAAACATCTTTATGTGTGCAGGGAGACCATTTTAAGTTTAAATTGGAGTTACAAGAAACTTGAAGAACATAAAGTGTTTAGCATTCCCATTTTAAAAAGTAACATGTTCTGTTAGCTGCCCAGATACAGACTAATTTCCAAAACTACACAGTTCAATCTTGGACAAGAAGTACAATTTCCTTTCACAACAAATAATAAAGAATTAGTGATTAGTGGCTGGACAAATGTAATAAGACAGCAGAAACAAAAAAATTCCACTCTTCCGACTTCCGTTAATGGAATCACCACTCAGAAGTTCATACATTTTTCTGCTCCACAATGTGGAAGGATTTTTATATGTTCTTAAGTCACAGCCTTTACATCTAGTGTTTCTAACTACCTAAAATGAACATTAGTATCAACTGGTAGTAGTTAAAATGCTTTAATCAAATAATAAACATGGAAAAAAGGTGTTTTCTCCATTAAACCACGTGACACCGCTGGTAGCCCAAGAAGAATTCATTATACTTAGTCGTCGTAAAAGTTTCAGATCATACAAGTAAACTTCACTTTTCTTAAATAAGGTGTAATATACCTTGTGCAATCTCTAGCTGCCGTTCCCCAAATGCTCCATCATTACTCGCTGGGTAATAAGAAAGGTTATTGAGTGTACTGAGAATACTGTGCACTAACTCTTCACTTTCAATCACTGATTTGCGGCGCAACACAGTTAGAAGGATATCTAAAAACTGTCTTCCATCCTTAAAAAAATATAAAATTAACAATTATTAAATGTTTAAAAAAAGTTTGTAGTTTAGCAGTTTGTTTCTTGCACTCATTAATAACTATGTAATGAAACCTCCATGTTGCTGTGTCTGAAAGACCAAAATGTAAGGACATTTTTACAAGGACTGCAATTCTTATAATGTATTTTGAGCTGTACTGTACTTGCAATTAGGATTTTGCCTTTGTGTAAGAAACTATTTATAGAATCATCCTCAATACGGATATTTTATAAATATATGATCTGAAAAATGATAAACAGACAAAAACTACCGACAGCGTATGTGATAATATCGATCGTCTAAACAAAAGTGTGAAAAGCAATACTTCGTCTGGATTACTGGAAAAAAAACATATTTCCTCCAAAATAGAACAGAACAAGTAATGCCCCAGTTTTTAATTTCCCTAGACAATTAAGACCATTCATAAATAAAATTAATGGATGAACCCATTAAAATTATATATCAGGTCTTCTTAGTATGGCTTCCAGTCCAATCCACAACAGAGTTAAATCATGAGACACGAGAGAATTGTTTTTCTTACCCTGTTATCATCTCCTGTATTACCAATACTGATATGATTGGTGTTCATTTCCCTTTGATGTCCATTACAGCTGTAGAATACAGTAGGTGAACATGCCAGGCTGCTGCCTACCTCCGGATTAATGCACATATTAGCGAGAATACGAATCAGCTGGAAATAAAGAATAGTCACATTCCTGCACAAACTGGATTGAAGTAAGAAAATATTACACAGAAAAGAGTTTGATGTACGTTAATGACCGACTCATTGACTGAGTGTACGTCATGCATGTCTATCGAGGGCAGTTAAAAAAAGAGGCGATCGTTTCAGAAGCTATCACAAGTCACAACCATCTACTTTTGATAATTACTTATAATTATGTTCCGCCATTGTTTCTGATGTTGATTCCGTATTACGCCCACGTATTTTGTTTTGTCTACATTTACTTCTAGGCATATTTCCTTGCTAGCCTGTAGGAGAGTTCCTGCATTTCTGGTTATGGTACCCACACCATCCCCCAACAAATTGACATCGTCAGCATAGGCAAGTACGCGGTGCACGCCATTCAATTCAAGCCCTTCCTGAGTCCCTTTGACCTTCCTGATAACACATTCTAGAGCAAAATTAAAAAGCATTGGAGATAAAGGCCATTGTGCATTGGGAAGGGATCTGACAGAAGGTTACCTATACAAACTCTACTAGATATACCATCAATACACATCTTAATTAACCTAATAAGTTCCTTTGGTATTCAAAACTCAATTAAAATGCCATACAGTACCTCTCTCTTCTAAATGAGTCATATGCCTTCTGAAAGTTCACAAATAGTTGGTGTACTGACCCATTATACTCCCACATATTTGTCTATGCAAAAGATCTGATAAATAGTTGCCTATTATAGCAGAACCCACATTCATCGTCATTGATAGTCTCATTCATAAATGTTGTTAACCATACCAGAAGAATATTGAATAAAATTATGTATGACGGTGACAAAAGAGAGATAGCTCGGAAGTTACCGCACTCAATTTTGTCACCTCTTTCATAGATAGAGGAAACAATTGATTCTTTCCACTGTTATGGTAGAACTTTCTGGTTCCAAATTGAGACTATAAGTTTGTGTATCTCTGAGTGCAGTGTCCTACCACCTGCATGGATTATTTCTGCTAGAATTGAGTCAATACCTCGAGCTTTATAACGTTTTAATTTCCCAGTGGCAATTTCAACTTCATTGAGGGTCGGTTCTGAGATGAAAGGCTCTGCTTTATGTACTTCAGGCTCTTTAAATTTATCTGCTATGTGAATATGTAGTAACTTACTAAAGTAATCTTTCCATCTGTCTACTACGCCGTGCGAGTCTGCGAGCAGATCCCCATTCTCGTCGTTGATCAAATGTGTCCTAGGTTTGTACCCCCTCTTAAATTTACTTATGCCTCTATACAACTCTAATGTTTTTGTTTTTGCTGTTAGTTTCCAGCTCCCCTATCTGATCTTTTAGATACTCCCTCTTCTTATTCCTCAAAAGTTCTGCTGGTTTTATGCTTTCTACAAGCATACACAAATGTTAGTTTCATTTAATTTAAATATGAAACAGCAGTACAGAAGCAGCCATTTTACATGCAACTGAAACTTGATATTTATTAAAATGGGAAATATTGGGCTGCACATAATTTAGCAGTTGAGTTGGGCCACATAAAACATCAGAGGGCAACATGCATCCCATAAGCCATAGGTTTTAACTGCCTGCTGTATAAAGCAGTCCAATAGCATGATGCTAAAAGACACCTTTATTTCAAGATTTTCATTATGCCTTCCTACCATGAGTTATTTATAGTAATTCTTGTAAGCCTTCAAGAATTCAATTTTTTAATTCTGAATGGTTAGGCCCTTCAAAACCTGGGTGTTGCTAATTAAGAATCTGTACCTTTATTATAACATCTTCAACAGATCCATTTGACCCTGCATCAGAGTTAAATTCACTGTGATGATTTGTGGATCCCAACATTTTATGGTCTTTATCCATATAAATGGCCAGTAAGTTCAGCATAGAAGCAACTGCACCATCTTCATTGAAGAACTGCAACAAGAATAATCATGCATGGAACAAACAACAGTGGAAGAAACAAAACATGTCTAATATTTAAAATTATAATTTTTACAGACCAATGTACACAAGCATGTGTGATAAGAAATATAGGGGAAGGTGGGCTAAAATGAAATAGAAAATATATTGAATAAAAATTTTCTTGGATATTATCCATCGATGGATATTATCCAAGAAATCTTTTATTCAATTGACTCTTCACCATCGTCAAGAAGTTTTAGATTTGAGAAAATATATTTTTCATTACAATCTTGTGTGTAAAAGAATACAACGAACTTTCTAAATACTGGCAGACTGAACAGACATTTTTATTTTAAAAAAAAAATTGAATAATTCAGATGAAGAGAATTTCCAGATCTCAAAATTATAAATAAAAAAATAAGTGGTATTTGTTTCACTTTACCTGAGGAACAGAGCAAAATGAAACAATGGTTTGGTACTGGTGAAAAACATCAAAGATGGATAACAATACAGGCCAGACGATGCACATGAAGGCAGTCATAAAACTTAGTGACCCCAAATCAAATAACAAAATGTTATAATACTTATGACTGAGGACGAAACATAGCTCTTCAGTGGTGAAATAATTTTGATTCACTGTGACAAAAGTGTTCCCTTCATTGAGGCCTGCTGCAAAACAGGAAAACCTATGTTGAAGTATTGCATTTGAAACTCCGTTGTACTCTCCATGAAAAAATACATTGCTTGCACAACAGAACATGGCTCTTCAGTCACAATAATGCCAACTTCCACACTTCTCAGATTATAGCAAGGAATGGTGCTGAAATGTTACTCCATGCTCTGGTTCCCTGATCTGATCTGATGCAAGTTCAATTTCTTTTTCTCAAGAGTCACAATTTTCCCTTACAAGACAATCACGCTGTAAAAATGACAGCACTTAAGAAGTGCATTAAGTGTAAGGTCCCAAGAGGCATTCAGCTGTGTGAAGGACTGGAAGAAATGTGATTCCAAGGAGAGTATTCCGAGGGGAAAAAAGTGCCATTGCGCAGCGGCAATGAAGAAAACGGGGACAGCTGGTACAATGTGAGCCATGCCTCATGGCTCGAAGTGGCTTATCTCCCCTCTCTAAGTTCTTTGGAGTTGGCGGCTTCGAGACCCTGATCAGACAGCAGGGCAGTAAAAACAGTCTGTGTGTGTCGGCCAGAGAGAGAACGACTCGAGGAAAAAGGCGGAAGGCAAGTCAGGGTGTGTGGGGGTTGAGTTGGGCATCTGGAGTCGCATACCCAGCCGGAGTTTGAGCCCTGAAATGTGTCTTGGTTCTGTTTATCTTATATTTAAATATTTTTCAAAAAAATAATTTACTTTGATTATTCGAAGCAGTTTCATTTGGTTTTCTTTTGACTTTTCACCGCTTTAGCCTCCCCAAGCCGTACCACCTCCCGGCCTGGGAAGATCGTGGCCTCAGTAAAATAATCTGGCAATCCCCTTCTTGGGGGGGTTCAAATGTTGAATTAAATTAACACCCTCTTATCTCCTCTTGAACATAAATTCAAACTTAAAGATATAATAAAGTATCACAGATACATTCTTACCTTAGTTCTAGCAACATCGCTACTAGCCATTAAGTTTCCAAGGACGTAACCCAATCGCACTATAATGTCTTGTCGACCAGGATATTTTTGTAACAACTGGACAAATACCTTGAAACTGTTTTTATAATCAACTATTGACATGCAGCAGTCATCATGTGTTGAGATTATACTGCAGAAGAAATAAACCAGACATTAAAAATATCACGTTATCCTAATCATAAAGTTAATTTTAATTCAACATCAAAATATTTCTTAAATCACGAGGAGTAAATCTGCATAACAACTTATAATGAGAGGAAAATTACTTGATGGAATATCCACCTATGAATCTTACACTGAAATATTTGTCTATGATGTGGATTTCTGTCATAGAATAGACAATTTTTGTTTCCTCTTCATTTCTCCACAAGCCAATTTTTTATTTCATTATTTGTCTATGATGTGGATTTCTGTCACAGAATAGACAATTTTTGTTTCCTATTCATTTCTCCACAAGTCAATTTTTTATTTCAATTATTCAATTGACTCTTCACCATCATCACGAAGTTTTAGATTTGATATATCATGAAAGTAACAATATACCCATTTCATTATTATTCCCAAATTTTAGGTAATTGAGCATGTTTAAGCACATTGAGTGAAATGTAATCCAGCAAAATGATTAGCTCATTTTAGTATTTGTGGGCTCTCAATTCAATTATGTATTCAAAGTGCCTGGTATTGACATTCCACTGCCAAGCAGCACAAAGTTCTTTCACACATCATATAAAAATGCTAAGCATTAAAGTCAATGTACAGTGAAGTGTTATGACAATAAATTTCAGTGATCTTCATAAATGTGTCCATCAGAACAATACAAACCATCTATTAAAACTGGAAAAGTCAATGGTGGACGTCCTGTCACATTTTCAAGTGTTCTATTTATGTGCTCTTTTCAGTAATCACAATTAAATAACACTAAACTTTTAAAGATCTGGCATTTTTCTCAAACATAAATCTACAACTTGTTACATATAACTACAAAATCTGTCACAGCATGTAGAGGCCTTGAATGAACATTGCAATGAGCAAATGAACTTGGTCTGGAATCACAAAAGAAAGATGAAGTCTTAAACCTGGTTCTGCATTGAGTTTGTTCCTGTGCCTGGTTTTCAAATTTGCACAAGACAAAATGTATGTATTTGAAATGCTAACAACACTGTAGTGGCCTTTCCTGCTAGCAGAGGTTACTAAAAAGTTGAGAACCTAAAACTTCTTGACGATGGTGAAGAGTCAATTGAATAATTTTTTTTTTGGATATTATCCATCGTCTAGTAAATATAAAACGTAAAACGACGTTTCGGAGATGGGACTCTATCTCCGTCTTCAGGTTCCTACACAGTTGGGTCCACTAGATAGAGCTAATCCCTATCTCCGGACAAAATAAAAAAGTGAAAGTCCCGGAATAAAAAGACATCACCACACCATCCATCCGTGGGACGTAAAAGAATAGACGTAGAAATGAAAATTCATTGAACACGATAAAGCCGTCGTTTTACGTTTTATATTTACTAGACGATGGATAATATCCAAACAAAATTTTATTCAAAAAGTTGAGAGTTTATTTATTTAAGTGGGGTGCCTCATTTCCAAATGGTGGCAAAGTAGAGAAGGTTTGAGACTGTTGTTTGCTAGTACATCACCACAAGTAATACAAAATGGTTTTGTAAATTCTTGTTCACTACAGCATGTAAAGAGTAGCACCTATATCATGAAAACAGCAAACAACATACTTCATATTGCTAACGGAAACTGTACACCATTGAGAAAGACTGAATACTAAAATACCTGAGTGTTCTTGAAATGTTACTGATCACATCAAGGTCAGAAGAGAAAAAATCCATGGCTTTACACAACTCATTGACAGCACCAGTTGATACAAACTTGGGAAACATTTCCTCTTCTCCTGCAACATTTCGTAAGGCTCCAGTGAGTTGGAACAAGGCGTGGCTAGTTTGTTCTGGAATATGAGAGCCTTCAGCACGCTGCAACAACAACAAAAAATAATGTATCAACCACTGATGTTATCCAGCACCGAAGGAAAAATGTGAGGATAATTATTAAGGGTAAACGAGGTGGCACGTGTTGTCCTAATGTTTAATACAGGAATATTTTAGATAACTCGACACAGGAACTTTGCAGATACAAATCATTTAGTAAAGGAGGCAATAACTTTGTAATATTATATTTAGACATTTCTGAATTTTGTGTGTTATGATAAAATGAGAGCATATTGGACTACGGGGTCCGCAGTGGTCTGAGGCGTGGGCCTTGTGCCGCTTGGTCGCTGGGACCGTGGGTTCGAATCCCACTCAAGCCATGGATGTCTGTCCGCGTTTTTCTGTGTTGTGCTGTCCTGCGTACAGGTAGAGGCCTTGCGACGGGCCGATCCCTCGTCCAAGGAGTCCTACCAAAATGTCTATAGATCAAGTCAACGAAAAGTTGGGACCCGCAGTGCTCAGGCACTTGAAGAACGGGTCGTTCCCAGTATCCCAGTATTGGACTACAGTAACAGCAATTACTGAAGCCAGTTCTGAAAATAATATAGTTAATTTCAAGAGAGGCTTAAGGCAGAAAGGTAAACCACGAACTGTGAATATGGTTGTGTTAATACCATTACTTTAACTATATTTAAAATCCTAATGCATAAAATATGTGATGTCACAACTTACCGCAGCATTAACTATCTTCATATGAAGAACCATTAACTCCAATATTCCAAGTTTGAGAACTTTAGCAAGTATAACAGTGTTCATTGTAAGGAACTTGAGAGCACCATACCCATATACACAAGATTCTGCATCTTCCAGAGGACTTGCTAAGCCAAGTACTTCCATAAAAAGTTCTGGGAACAGTTAAAATACAGATCAGCATCAGAAGCACTGTAATAGTGGCTGAGTAAAAAGTTATAATAATAAATAGAGGACAGCGTTGTTGGTTTCGATTACTATAGGTGAATTAAAGTATAATGCATCTTGTATAAACATTCCTCAGCTATCATTCTACATAATTCGACAGACGCATATATCTGGTAAATTTATAATGTGTAATGAGCCTTACTATTTCATATGACTGCAAATGGTCCATACAGTATTATAGTGCAACTGATTTTATACTCCCCATCCTCAAATACACAAAGAGAGGATTCATGTTTATCATCGTCTATCAATCGGCCATGAAAATCAGCATGGACTCTACCACAAGCTCTGTTGTAATACATCTGTGTTATACAAAACCTAGTTTTACATTTAATAATTTTCTTTGTTTCTATTTAAATGGGCACAGACCTCAAAGAAAATTATCAAATAATAACACGGATGATATTTGTCTGCAACGATTATTTTGTCTGATATTTTATATTTATATTTCAGAGCACTACATTAGTTTCTAATTGTGTACGGCCTGTGGGCCAGATGGAGCCCAAGACACCTCTTCGTGTGGCCTCTTTGATGAATCAGTAAATTACTTATAACTAAAGCCACTCCTGCGGTAGATGAATTAGAGGAAAATGCCCTACGCCCCACAGTTTGCTACAAATATACATATATTTTAAAACCAATTCTCTGTTGAAGTCAGTGATGATCCAGAAAAACTGCAACTTGAATTGACTGAACTGATTTGACACTTGGCACAGTGAAAACTGGCCCTCAGAAGGAAAGTGAGTTCATTGCTGTGTGTGGTCCATAAAAAACAAAGAAATACGGACAAAATTTAAATGTTCACAATGTAATGTGGTGTTATGCTCCCTGCTTCAGGGTGTACCATACAAGACTGCAGTTTTGAAGACTGTCTGGTATACTCTGGAGAAGTAGGAACAGAAAATATAAATAAATACTGTAACTATACAATTAACTTACTGATAAGGGGTGTAGATTTTATGAAAGGGATGAAAATATAAGCTTTAGTTTTCAATTTACAGAAAGACACTGCAGTATAGAAGTTTGTTTTATTTTGATTGGTTTATAGATCCTGTCTGATGTGATATATTGAATTAGATGTTATACCATAATCAATGGTAATTTTCTTGATAAACTAAGTGACTATTAGCTTCTAAAGAAAAAAACTGTTCCTGCAGTTAGTGATGCGCGTTTATTTAAGACGGCAGATTTAGGAACGCAAACTAGACGTGTGCAGACCGCAAGGCGCCATGTCTACACGTCACGAATTTAAAGTTTTAACGATGAATGAAAACAAAGTTGGAGAACATTTGCCCCGCACGGAAATTAACCATCATTTCAACGACTGCTTGTCACGGCAGAGCTTAGTAACCGGAACGACATCTCCTGTAATATGTTTACAAAGAAATCATTGGCAACACTGAACAGATACAAAAATAATTGAAACAAGTAAAAGAGTCTTTATTTCTAATAGATAAAATTAATGTTCTTTTTAAGTTTCAAAGGCTTCGTTCACTCGTCCTTATGATAAGAACAATGACAATTAAAGTCTTAGAATGGTAAGAAGTGATAATTTGGGACAATGGAATTTTAGGCTTCGAGTTAATTTGTGGTAAGACAGGTAATTTTTTTTTTATTTATTGTTCTGTCTGACGACAGGTCCATATGAACAGGATCCTTCCATCCTTTTCTCGGACTGGGACCTGTTCATATACGTTCTTGGCAGATGATCCAGAAGTGGTTTGCCATTGCCGTCTTCTGTGTGTAAATGGAGTAATTGTTGGGATGCCACGGGGAAACCAGAGAAGCCCCCGGAGGAAAACTCCGTGTTGCCTAGACCACGGCCTTGCCCAACACAAGTTATAAATTCGAGCACCGCCGGGAATCGAACCCGAGACCCCAGGATTACAAGACCAGCGTTCTAACCGCTAGACCACCGTGGCGGTTTAGTGATGCTATACCAACCATAAATGTTATATAGTATCATGAAGGCTGTCTTCTGGGTTGTAGCATTATGTAGTCTCATAGAAGTCTTGATGATGATGATGGAGGAAGCAAGGACCTCTGAAACAATGGTGCAGTGCAATCCAGTGGAGAGCCACATTCATACTCGTAGCTATGAGTACCTTAAAATCCAACTTGTATATTATTTTTAATATTGGTGTTGGCAAAGGAATGATGGAATGAACAACAGGAAAGATTGGAGTGTCCTGGGAAACCTCACCTGAATGTAGGTTTGTTTACAATGTACCTTATACGATTCAGTATCATTATTTGGTACATACCAAGAATGTTGTCCTCCAGGAACAGTTTGTCATTCTTGTCACTTCTAGAAACTTTGAACACCAACTTGCAAACACCCGACAGGTTTTTGCCATTAACTCGAAACTGTAACAACCATAATGTTTTAACTTGTTTTTCTGCGAGTGTCTGCACAAATGCTCTTTCCACTCCCACATAGTTTATTAGCAGTTACTTGACAAATTTTGTCCTTCTAACATATATCTACTGCAAACAATAAATTACTTACAGCAAGGATGATCCGGGCAATCTGGAGTAGTAACATATCATTTGACGATTCAAGAAATTTATACAGTGTTTTCAATACTTGTGCTCTGAGTTTTGTATTTCTAAATTTTTTTCCAATTTCTCCTTCGGTCTCTAGAGCAGAATATAGTTTCAGCATTAACGATACAACCTCTTCTATATTTTCCTCTGGAACACGAAAGAAAAAGAAACAAGATTGGAATGGTGTACTCTTTGGATTACAGTAAAATTACAAAGGTGCCACACACTCTTAGATGTTATCTCTTTAAAAGCATATAATAATTAGTAGTTAGATAAAGAGTAACCTTCCATTTGCTGTCAAAATTGTTTTCATGTACCCACATATTTATTATCTGAATTCATATAAATGATGGGGTACATTTACAGACAAATACACAAGCACCCATGGAAATTCAATCATTAATTTAACGCTCAACAAAACAAAACAGGCAATGCAAGTGTGAGGAAGCTCTCAGGAAGGCAAAGTCTCTGGAAAAACAAGCACAGAGGGCTTGTCCACGATGGGAAAAGACCAGGGTGGTATAGCTCTGTTCAAGGCAAACCATTTTAAATCAGGCTCAGGGAATATGCTCCAGGGTTTTCCCTAGGGGTGCAGACCCCATAGGTGGCCTAGTTCTTTGGTTGATCAAGCCTCCAGAGGTCAGTCCTGGAGGTTGTCTAACCATGATGGCACACTCCCAGGTGTTGTCTAAGCTCAACGAGAGAGAAGCTATTCACTTACAAAGCTTGGTCAACTAAAACACTTGAGAGGAAGCCTGAGGGTTGAAGCCTCCAGAGAAGCAAGTTCAGGGTGTTTTTCCCTAGGGATAAATTCCAGGCAAAGGCCTGTGTGATAAGCCCAACTTAGAGCAAAACTGAGTGGGATAGCCATGGTGCGTCCTCAGGGGGTGCAGGACCCACTGGTACCCAAGCTCCTGGGGGGACGTTCTGGTGGTGGCAAGCCCATTGTGGTATAAGCAGTAATAGTGATAGCCTAGGGGTGTCCAAACCCAGTAAGGGCAAAGCTATGGATTTTCAAAGCCTGGGGAGATTTTTTACACGGGAGAGGAAGCCTGCAGACATAGGGGCTATGGACCGGATAGCAAGAAGTCCACGGCTCTGTGGCCATGGTGGAAGTGGGATGGCGACCCCAATCTGGAGGAGCTGTGCATTATATACACTATAAACAGATTATAAATAATCTCACCTTTTCCTGCAAGACTGTTCAGTGCAGTTAAGATAGACTGAATAAAGTTGTTTTTCTCCTCACTGACAGTAACCACAGATTTCTCTCTAATATCAATGCATTTATCAGCAGTTTCATTCACTTCTTTTGCCTGATAAAATGACTGCCTTTCCTTCATTTCTGTTGTTGAGTCCGCAGTGGAAAAGTTGTCTTTGGATGATGGGTTTTGTGCAATTGTCTCATCAAAGAATTTTGGTTCTGTCCCATTTTTCACACTGATTTCATTTTTACTTACAGATAACCTGTTATCACCTACAACAGGATTTCCTGTTGCTGATCTTTGTATAGTAATTATACTATTTTTAGAAACTTGTTTTGAATATTTTTTTGCACTATTGGTAATGGTACATTCCTTTGCATTCAAATTGACAGATTTGTCTTTCTGGCCTTGAAAATTATTTTCAGATTTATTAGAGAATTTTGCATTATTATTTGAAGTTTTAGTTTTTAATTCTGGGCCAAATACATTTTCTTCTAACTGTTGATCTTGTGAAGAAAGTTCTTTGTCTGCAGTAGAATCATTTTTCTTGCTTTTATCTGGTGGATATGAGTTTCTATTTTTGGACGTTGGCTCTTTGACAGTGCCAAGTGTGTTTTCTTCACATGTGGCTAAATTAGCATCTAGCTGAAGTGTCTTAGTCTTAAATGAATTCTTGTGTGTGGATTCTAAGCAAATCTCTTTTTTGTCTCTTACACTATGTGAAGAATCTTTCTGGAAAATCTCCTCCTGCATTTTTTGCTTAACTTCCAATAATTCATTATTTATAATATTTCTGCCTTTAGGATTTTTCATTACAACTTTTACAGAATTCACTCCGTTATTGGCTATTTCTTCATTTGTTTTGCTCTGCACCACTATTACTGACTCTGCTGCATCTTTCTTTGTCCCAGAATTATTTTCTGTAATGGAGGATGATTGTTCTTGTAACATCTTTCGTTCTGAAGCAGACTGCAATTTTTTCTTAACTGTGCATTTATCCAGCTCAGTTGTGCGCTGCATAGGACAACTGTATGCTTTGCGAGCAGGAGGAGCCTCTTTTATGCTACTTGAATTAATTCCAGAATCCTGAGATTCATTGTCATCAACTTCTATTTCTTCAGGAACTGAAATAAAATATAAATAAATCATTGTCACTAATGATTTCAACAAGTTTATTTTTACTAAGACATTTAAAATGTTAAAATAAGCATCAAAAAGTTATTAAAAGTTTGTTTTTACATACAAAAGAAAGTATGATATAACTCTGAGAAATGAGCTGGTATAGCTCAGTCAGTATAGTGACTAGCTACAGGCTGGATGACTGGGGTTCAATCCCCGACAGGGGCAGATGATTCTTCCTCTAGTTCCTGCATCCAGACTGGCTCTGGGGCCCACCCAGTCTCCTGTCCAATGGGTACCGTGATCCTTTCCCGGGGTTAAAGCGTGGCCAGGAAGCGATGCTAACCACTCACCCCCATCTAGTGCCGAGGTAAAGAATGAGTGGGCGCTATACCTCCACTCCCCCCAAGCGCCTACATGGTGTATAGTGGGACAACTTTACTTCTTTTATTTATATTTGTGGAATGCTTGTTTACATATTTTATTTAATTTTTCACTAGATATTGTGTATGAGTTACAAAACTGAAGTGGTAAAATGTGTATCCAGTTAGTAACTTACGATTGTCTAGTGAAGCTGTCGCTCGAAACTGATGTCTCTGACTCAGCGATGGTTTACCTCCTCCATCAATAGATGGCAGACGAAATCTTTTTGCAGCACTGGTTATCTGACCAGAAGTTAGAAATAATGGGATTTCAAGGGGCTGAGCTGAAAGAACTCTGCTTCTAGAGCCTTCTGAAGTTGTGGCATTGAGCAATGTTTTCCAGTCTCTAAGATCTAACAAGCTGCTGCTGGTGCTGAGAGATGCAGATGGCGTAGCAGGGATTGGATTTAAGCGTCTAATGTGAGGCGTTGCGCTCAATGAACTGCCAAGATCAGCATCTTGAAACTGCAAATAACCCAGGCTGTAACGAGAGAGTTAAGCAAATTTAAAATATATGATCTGATCCATTCAACTACCTGATATGGCTGATAGCCCAAGAAGAATTCATTATATAAGGTTTAAAATGAATAAGATTTAAACCAAAGCCTGATTCAGAGTGAGGAAATCTTCCCTCTTAGGCCCAAATATCCTCCTCAACACCCGATTCTCAAACACCTGCAATCTGTGTTCCTCCCTCTGAGTGAGAGACCATGTTTCGCACCCATACAAAACAACGGGCAAGATTATTGTTTTGTATACTTTAATTTTCAGGTTCTTAGAAATCAGACGGGAAGACAAAATATTTTGAACTGAGAAGTAACAAGCATTTCCGGAATTTAGCCTCCGACTAACTTCCTCACGAATATCATTTTGATTTGTTATAAACATATGGATGACACATTTCCTAACTCACTGCTTAGCGTTTCATATGCTTTTTCTGCAGATGGCACAACTGGGCTTGGACATTTGTCTACCTCAGTGAATTCCCTTTCCATCTACAACCCAAACTTCCACTCCAAGGTATAGGTCACAAACAAATGTTTCCTGAATTGAAAGTGGGTTATTTCACTTCATACAGCTTCTGTATTATAAAGTAAATTAAGACAACTAAATAAAAGTTCTTTGTTCACTTGTGACTTGACCGTCACCATGCTACGTTGATAGTCTGCAGTGAATTTCCATGCCCCAGACACCTTCAGCCCACACTCCATATTTCTCTTCTTTGGTGCATCGAGTAACGGAACAGCCGCGATAATGATGATGCAAAAGGCATAAAACACCTGAATGGTGACGGTCAAATACATGACTATAACAACAGAGATTCTGTGCTTGCGTTTGCAAGCACATTCAGCAGTAGGACCAACTGCGAATTGCAAACATTTTTATACTCACCTTCACACTCTGTGTTCCTTTTACACTGTCGGAGTAGCGGTATTTCCGTCTTGCAATGTGTTAACATACAATATACAATTTGCGCACAAATTCTGACTGCCTTCAAACTGGTTTTCTTCCAAATTATGTTTTGATAATTAAACTACTAAATATCATCCATATTTAGTTTTACTCAATGTAACTGGAAATGAAAAAATTTCTAACCTTACACACGCCAGAAGACGAGTACCTCAGGCGTATAAATCCCTTAAAAAAAGTATAACAGAATATCTAATAAATTATCTCTAACCTGAATGAGCTTGGTGGTCTACAACTTGATTTCTGAGCTGTTCCAAACAGTGTCCTCTGTCTTTCTCTTGGAGTGAATGGTCTCTTGGTTTTAACAGGTCTTATAGAAGCAGCCATTCTTGTGTTTTCAATTCTAATTCCTTCCTTATCGTGTATTATGGACGCTCGGGCCTCACTGATAATCTCGGCACTGGTTTTCTTTACAAATGGTGGCGGAGCATAGAATGGAACTGTGAGTTTGTTAGTACCTGATGCTGTACTTGTGCGATGGGTCGTCTCCATTTCAAAATGAATTAAGCATTCATTAAAATGAGGAACTATCCGGAAGCTGAAAATTAAATATATTACTGCACCTAATTCTGCTATTACTAAAAGAAAATTTCCAATGCTCGGGACCAGTTTCTTGTCAGATTTCAAGTCTGAACACCAGTATTTTTTTTTTATATGAACTTATTAAGGAGCACAAACTTATTTTACTTATAGAAATAGTACATTAGTCCCAAAATGCATATAATAAACTCTGCACTATATGTTCTTTTAGTAACTGATACCAACTGAAAATGCTAGTTACTTTTCGACACCAAGAAATTAAAAATGAATATTGCTTATCTTGTGTTGAATTAACTTACCTCATTTACATTTTGCTTTCATAAAAATATTTCTTTCTAGGAAGGAATATGTCTCTGACCTCAGCTACAAATCACTATCCGTCCATTACCGAAGTTTGATATTGATCACGAATTTTAAATACACAGAGAGACAATTTATTTTCAATCACTGCCTGCCATAAAGTAGCTGTTCCTTCACATTCTTCATTCAATCACTGCCTGCCATAAAGTAGCTTTTCTTTCACATTCCTCGAATAAACAATCAGTTTTATACCACGAAATTACTTGTATACCCTTTAGGAATACAAATTACCTTTGTAATATAATTACACGTACACAGATTTCATTAACTGGTATTCCTCGTCATAAGTTTTAAAAGACTGGTTGCACATTATTTGTCTAGAACAAAATTTCTATTATGTACTATTTGTTCAGTGGTATTTCAATACACCGCACTTTAAAACAACTGTTACCAAATTCTTACACCATTTCCAAAAAATACATACTCTACCATTTGCTGTAGCATACGCGCAATAAGAAATGTGAAGCGGTCACTGTTTTACATTATTTGGCATGCAGTCTGTCCCCATAATATTGATTTCTCTACCCCCACACCACCTCTTCTAAGCACACAATTGGCATACAGGTACATAACCTTCAGGAAAAATCAATAAACCAGGCAGGTACATAGAACAGGATAAATAATAAAACACCTTGACTCAGCAAGGGACCTGATAAAATCAAATATGGTTTAGGTGCAGTATGACTAAGGTTGCTGTCAGTTTAACCTTCATAAGTCTTTGTATTCTTCTTATTACACTGCAATGTAGGATAAGTTTTCTGAATAATTTTTACCAACTTCAAATTATTGAACTGAGAACTTCTCATAAAGGTTTTCTGCATGTTTATTTTCAATATGTCACTGTTAAAGGAAGCAACAATAACATTCATAACCTCAATTTTAACTGTGACCATTAATAGTAATGAAATAAAAACATGAATATATGTTTATCATTTGCTACGAGCTTTGTGAAAATACTAAAAATGATACACTTTGACACTTTATAGAATGAAAATTCTATTGAATATTTATATTTTACAACCAAATGTTTGGGGATACTGTTCTGACTTCTGAAAGAAAAGTAGGCATATATACAAATCTGTGAGTGATTGAAAAATTCTCACTTTAGTATGATTACATCTGAAAAACCCTTTATGCAAACGCCAAGCACACTAACCCATGGCCAAATTGACCTTTAGTATTTGATTATAAACTTGCATTGCCTAAAAACAAAATTTGTAGAACAGGAAGTATGTGCAATAGGAAAGTAGGCTGTATTAATTCTGTCTTGAAAATCCTGTATTCAAGATTTACCAAAAAACTGAGAAGCAAAAATGAATGTGAATAATGACATTATATACATAACATCATGAAATGCATGCAAAATGGAAAGATGTATAAAAAGCTCAGTTTTGTTTCTTGTGTGGGGTTGAAGGTCACTCTCTACATTCCTGACCTACTTTAATCTTCATGGCAATGCAATGAATTTTCCCCCAATTTGTGTATTGCATGACATACTCTACAAGTCATGACATTGGAGGGCGGTGGAAATTTGAGGGCAGAGTAGGGTTTTTTTTTGCATAAAACATAACATAAATAAATTAATGCCTACGAAATACACATACGCACACACAAACTGCCAGTCAGTAATGCGCTCAAGCAGAAGCATGACACAAAACGTAGTTGTGGTTCATTTGTATAATGTAAAGTTTTTGAAGCAGAACACACAGCATGGAAATAAGCTATTAGTGATCTTTCCGTTCATCATCATACAGAATATCCCTCAACGGGATATCCATAGCTTAACTACGTGCTCTTGGGATCATTTTGAGTCGAAAAGTTCAAATAAACATGGGTCTGATCTGCAAAAGTTTGTCAAGAAAATGAGAATGAGCATTTTATTATATTTGTAACTTTTACATTATTTCAATTTAATTTTAGGTTACGTCGTCGTTATTATTATTAAGTTTAGACTACACTCTGAATTCGGTTTTTAATTACTAACGTTATTTACGTGACTCGAAATGACCATCCTGTTTGTTGATGCACAGTTGAGCCCTTCGTGTAATTGAAGTAACAGCTCTCTTCACAGTAATGATAATTTTTTGTTATAGCACCGGAATCCATTATTCGACTCAGCAGCTCAGCCCTACTGTTTGACTTGATGGAATAAACCAAGGATTCCATGTGACCTCACAGAAAGTAGTTCAAAGGCTAAAGATCTGGTGTTCTCGCTGGCCAAGCAATGGACCACCTCGGTCAATCCAACGGTCTGGAAACTGTTGATTTAGGAATGCAGTCACCCGCCTACCGAAATGAGGGTGTGTGTTATCTTGCTTAGTGAACTAATTTCTCAAACACAGCCATTGCATAGGGAGTGCGGAGCAGATTGGACCCACGTTTATTTGAACTTTTCGACGCAAAATTATCCAAAGAGCACGTAGTTAAGCTATGGATGCTCTGTTGACGGACATACTGTATGTGACGTCACACGTACTGGAATAGGAAAACTGAACACCATGTAACATATGAACCATGATAATTTTTTCCATTAAAATAATCAGATATATCCCGTTAGTTAATTATAGTAATATTTTAATATTTAATAGGAATTTTATTGTGCTCAGACTGACAAGATTTAAACAAATATATATTTATCACAATATGACGCAACTTTATCATCTCATAAAAATAATGTGTAAATATAGGACAACAATGGTCAGCTGTTATATGAACACCTGCGTGTACAACAATGTAACTATTGGAATTTCTAAACCACACCTGCAACAATATTGACTGAGCATGCCGTAAGGGTCATTTTTCATTTCTTATGCATGCAGTATAATAGACGGTATAGACCGTATTACACTCCATTCCTTTACCAATTGTTACGTCATAGTTGCCTTCGGCATTGTCGCATTAGTATATATTGGAGTGAACAATCCACTTTCGTCATTGTGGAAAGAGTTGAGCTGTGAATCGCTTGTGGTAGAAGTGTGTTGTAGACGAGATATTTTTGTGCTTTTAAAAGTCTTTCGCCATAACCAAAGTACTTACTTATCTTCTGTGAATTACTTAGAAATTCCTATTGAAGAAAGATTGAGGTAAGTGCATCCTATTTATTATAATTGCTTATAACATTTACAGGTTTTCATTTACATTTGTGAACTCTTGGAAGAGAATTAGGTTCGTCTTCTCTCTAACACAAATTCAATTTTTTATTTCATTGATTTCTGTTTGTTTACGTCATCATTTATAATAAAAGAATTCCGTTAAACTGTGGGATTCGAATTTCTAAAGCAACAAGACATATTAGTAGCCGAAATTCTTGACGAAACTGTTTAAACCCTTGAAAACCTGGTGGTAAGTATATATACCACTTGCCTGCTTTAAAAGTCAGTAGCTTTTCATTATGCATTTGTCGAATTCGTTTGATTCTCAGGGTAAAGAGTGATAATATCCTTTAAATGCATTAACCGGTTGATCTTTGTAATGGTGAAGTGTAGTGTTTTCTTCGCGGTACGGACTGATTTATTAAATAGTATTTAGACGAGCTTCGGCATCAAATGCTTAATAAATGGGGCATCTGTTACGAAAGATAATTCTACCAATTTAGATTTCTTGATCCATGAACTTTGTTAGAGATTTTGAGCGAGCTGCAAAGAATTCCGTTTTATTTTTATTAATAATTGTCTGAATAAACTGAAATGCGCTCCATTCTGTAACCGTCCACTGCTTAACTTCCAAGGTCCGTGGGTGGACGTGATGTTGGTGTTTGTAAAATGGAGAATCCTTAGAAGCGGATGACCATTTCCGGTCTGAACATATGCTAAAATCCTTTAGGAATGAATGTGAAATACAAAATGATACAAAAGGCTCATAACCTAATGAAGAGTAAAGATTAAATTTACAAAATTAATTAAGAAAACTAAAGCAAAGTCGGATGCCCTACATTTCCTTTATGGAGGGAACAATAATTGTTGCGTCATACTTTTCGTCGGCATTGTTGTATTGACGTCAACAATAGGAAAGAACAACTATGAATAGCTTGTAAAAGTATTGCGTTGTAGACGAGATAGTTTTGTTCTGTTAAAAACCTTTCAGAATAACCCAAGTACTTCTCTTATATAAGAATTATTAAGAAATTTGTGATACTGCCCTCCAGTCCTAAATTTCATTTTTGATTAAATCGTTTATTACCAGTGGACATTTAGGTGTCTTACTTTTGAAAAGAGGGCGGGGTTCCTTTTTATTATTAACTTCTCTAGACTTTATTACCCTAATAGTTGGCTCCCATGGTCAAGCCATGTCATTTTGCCTTGATCAATCTTTTTACAGCTTCAAAACGTTTCAGTTATATTACTTTAAAACTAACATTTTCAATACGTCCTTAGTGAAATTGGTTGCCTGTTCACAAGCAAGAGACGTGCGAGCTAGGAGGTCACCCCATCAATCACGTACTGTAATCTCAATCTATGTTACAGGACAGTTCATGAATGAACACAGAATTCGACACTGAGTAAGATAAGTGCATGCAGACATCTCTTCCTGTGATGACGTACCCATAATTGACATTCAGAAAGACTTACTCTCAGAGAATAATAGCCACATGTTGGGACAAGCAGAGAGATGGGTCCCTGATCGTACTGAAGATCTAAGGCAATGCCATACGTAAGCGATAACAAGCGAGCTGCTTATGACATAAGGGAATCGCTTGTTGTGTCCTGCGTGAGAGAAGCACACGGCCTTCCTCCGCACGCACCTTCCCTGTACTGCACGGTCAGAGCTTCCTTGCGCATGCGCCTTACTGACCAGCGCAGCGACCTGCGCGGAAACATCAGAACACCGACGTCTGTAGTCTCAGCAGTGCACGGGAGATGTCGTCTAGGTCGTGTCGGGTGTGGTGAATGCCCTGGTGGAGTGGGCTGAAGACAATTCCAACCTCCGAGCGCGTGAATCACACCCGGAATGAGTCAGATGGGATCTCCAGTGCACTTGTGGGAAAACACCTGAGCTTTTCTGGTGATTGTCAGAAAAGGATAGCTAAATATTAAAATTATAAAAGTGGTTTATTACTATCCGTTTAAATATTTTTTTTAAAAAAAACTAGAGCAACGCGTTCCTTTCGGAGTTCTTGTCGTACTTTCTCGATAATTTCGTGTCTTTCGTCTATCGGTTTCTGTTGATATTTAATATTTCGTTTTTCTACGTGTGTTGTTAATATGATCTCGTTTATCAATGTAAGTCCAACTCCACCCTTGCCAATCTTTGATGTATGGTTCGATAAAGACGTATTGTTCTTTGAAAATGCTAAGAGTAATAACGAAAGGGGATTGTTGACGGTAATATACCAAGACAACAATACAGAGTAAACAAATGACGTAACATTTTTTTATTCTATGATTTTTTCAAATATTAAAAATGTGACACTTGTCGATAAATTTTTTAGATTTCGTAATGTAATTATCGTCGAAGATAAGCCATTGATCGTTATAACGTCGCCATGCTTCAAAATGTCCGTCGTTTCCAGTACCGTTAATGTCTACAAATTCGACCGCACTTTGCAATTTCCAATATTTTCCATACATTAATTGGTTGTTATGTCTAATTCTCATTATTTCAAATGTACGTACTCCATTTAGAGTCAATCTATTTATTTCCAAAAATCATGTACTTCTGACAGTCACCAACAACAATTTTGTTCGTTCCACATACGTAGTTTTGTTGACATTCTGTACACGTTCCGTACAGACCTGTTTGTGTTTGATAGTTCAATAACTCTCTGAAATTTGTCGCGTTCGTTTGTGGTATGTTCATTGCCAATATTTTTGGTTTGTATAACTTTCTTCACGTTGATGACTATTTCTACGTGTTTTTGTATTCACCGTCTGATAGTCAAACATGTTTTGCATTTCAATTGGTAATTCCTCGAAAATGTTGTAGATCGTTTCGGACACGCTTTGAAAACCTCTTCTCAAATGTTCTTTAAGTTTTTGTCGTATTGAAATGACATTATGTAAGTTTTGAGGATGACTGTATCCGTTTGCAATCTCGGAGATCAATTGTGCACCATTGTTGTCGCCGTCGTATTCATTTAATATCATTTCTTTTAGACTTTCAACGAACGCAGTAGCTGAATGCAACATGTTTGTTGAGGAAATCAAGAAGCAGTCTGATCCATTGGCATTCTCGAGTTTCAAATGTTCGATAGTTGGTACAATTTCACGTGTAATCGTCGTTTCATTCTGCTTCACTCTCCGTGTAGGTTGTTCATTCTCTTCATGAGTTTTTGTTCGTTTTCCCCCCTTCAACTTTTACGCGTTTAACAAGATGACCAACTGTTTCACTTTTAATTTCGTCAAGATTCATTTCAAGTTTTCGCTTTCGTTCTTTTCGTGTAATGTCGTCTGTTCTCTTGTCTGTGTAATGGGTAAATCTATTTGTAGCTTATCATTTCTTTAGGTGAATACTTTGTTTTGTATTATGTGACATTTATATAATAGTATGAATTGTACTTTATAATATTGTGATGTGGGTTGGCAATTGCTACCTTGATTGTCAACCCTGATTTATTCACGTCACAGTTACAGTTGCCCTCAACGCGCGCGCAGGGAACAGACTCTCGAAGTGTGTTGTTGTGGCAGAGAGTTGACTGTATGTGCAGACCTGTAACTGATTTAATTTGACGTGAATAAATCAGGGTTGACAATCAAGGTAGCAATTGCCAACCCACGTCACAATATTATAAAGTACAAATCATACTATTATATAAATATCACATAATACAAAACAAAGTATTCACCTAAAGAAATGATAAGCTACAAATAGATTTACCCATTACACAGACAAGAGAACAGAAGACATTACGAAAAGAACGAAAGCGAAAACTTGAAATGAATCTTGACGAATTTAAAAGTGAAACAGTTGGTCATCTTGTTAAACGCGTAAAAGTTGAAGGGAGAAAAACGAACAAAAAGTCATGAAGAGAATGAACAAACTACACGGAGAGTGAAGCAGAATGAAACGACGATTACACGTGAAATTGTACCAACTGTCGAACATTTGAAACTCGAGAATGCCAATGGATCAGACTGCTTTTTGATTTCCGCACTAAACATGTTGCATTCAGCTACTACGTTCGTCGAAAGTCTAAAAGAAATGATATTAAATGAATACGACGGCGACAACAATGGTGCACAATTGATCTCCGAGATTGCAAACGGATACAGTCATCCTCAAAACTTACATAATGTCATTTCAATACGACAAAAACTTAAAGAACATTTGAGAAGAGGTTTTCAAAGCGTGTCCGAAACGATCTACATTTTCGAGGAATTACCAATTGAAATGCAAAACATGTTTGACTATCAGACGGTGAATACAAAAACACGTAGAAATAGTCATCAACGTCAAGGAAGTTATACGAACCAAAAACATTGGCAATGAACATACCACAAACGAACGCGACAAATTTCAGAGACTTATTGAACTATCGGGGTGCAAGGCTTAGTGATGCGTCTCAAACAGCCTCTCCTAGGCAAATGTCAACCTCACCTTCTCGTGGTGCACCCTGTTACCACCGACGAGGCTCTGACGACCGAACATTGGCGGGATAACCAAAGCACGAGCGGGAAATGGCATTTCCCAATCGTATTCCATCTTAGGAAGAGCAGGTGCCCCTGCTTAGGGGTGGCAACCCCACCAGGGCACTCGGCGCATGTGGGCTAAGAACCCGCTTGTTTGCTTAAAGAAATCAAGACAAGAAGTAGCTGGAAGATTTCTAGCCTGAAGGCCATACCGGATTTTGTGGAATGTGAGGACGATCTATCAGACGGGCAAACTGGCACAAAGATGTAAGCTTGACATCTTCTGATTAAGCGAGGTCCGCTGGAATGAGTTCGAGGGAGCAAGAACGCAATCCCTGCTCTTCTCTGGACAACCAAACGATGTTAAAATTATAAAACACTGGGTTATTACTATATGAGCTATACTTTGTAAAATTTTACATAAAACATTTTCTGCTATTAGCAAATCTTTAAAAAGATTAAATAATGTATGTTCTCAAATAAAATAAAATACTTGTTAAAATTTACGTATTTTTCTTTGATTTTTGCACATTATTCATAGACTTCAGTACCCAGAAAGGTTAGCTGTTATGTGTTTTTAACATCTAGTTTTCAATTCATTGTCGCAGTCCCATTGTCCGTTCGTACGTTGTTACAAACTGTTTGCTGGCGTTACCTAGTAAACACCTATGACAGAATGGGACGAGAGGTGTGCACCGGGTAATGGTTGGGAAGCCTGAGGGGAAGAGACCGCTGGGGAGACCTAGACGTAGATGGGAGGATAATCTCAGGCGGGATCTATGGGAGATAGGAGTTGAAGGAGACTGGATTTTGTTGGTCCAGGACAGGGTCCGGTGGAGGGCTTTGGTTAATTCGGTGATGAACCTTCGGGTTCGGTAAGCCATCTGGTTGGTTTGTTATTATATGAGGTTTTTGTGCTGAAGCTGGAGATTTCATAATCCTCCGAAATTAATTGTTAACCTCTCCCTTGCAACAACGTACTTGGAAAGGCATCACATTTTAAAACTGAATTTTTTTCCAAGTCAAGGCACTTTGACACCATTTGTAAGGTCGGCTGTAAACGCTCTTGTATTCCGGCGTGAAAACAGAGTTTCAGCCACTTTAAGACAAAAGATCGACCCTCCATGCTGGTAGCCCAAGAGGCATCCTTTATCAGCAGGGTCCGGAGTACGTACTTGCCGCTTGCGGGCACCAACAAATCATCATTTCTGATCTGTCTGAACCATGTGACCTTGAAGCGTCGTACTTCCCATTTATTCCACTTTCTCATGCATTTGACTACACTAGAGTTACATCCTTTGTTCTTATAGACAATGACAGTAAGCAATGTTACGTCGAATGTGGAAAAAATATAAGTTTTGCAGGAACCCGTTAAAAGATAGTGGCTAAGGTGAAAAACCATCAGATAGCGAGCAGAAATTCTGAGCGATGCAGAAGAGGAGTTGCTATTGAAATTACCACAATTGCGGTGACCGAAATGCAAAAATTTATAATCCACATCAGAAATTTCTTGCCGACAGGCCATTTAAATATCGCTACAACGTTAGCATGGGGGACGTTTAAATACTGGCTTAAAGCGTTGATAACAATTATCAGCGGTTGATGATTGTAACGGATCACATCGTACATGTATATTCTGCGGAAAACATGGTTTACGGATGCAGAGTACCGCAACGTGACCTAATACACGTAACAAAAACAATATTTTATAGCAACCATTTATTCTAAGATTTTCTTAAACACAGTAATTTAACAGACCAGATAAATGATTCACTTACGCAATTTAAACTGTACACTGTGATAAGAAATATTTTCTGGCACAGGATATTAAAAGAACTTTCCAGAAATGGTTTTGATGATACTTCGGAGAATCCGCAGACCAGGAAATGAATACTTAAATATGACAACACGCCCAGAACAATACTAATTCTCCGTAGGTAACGAGACTTCGGGCCAGATACTTTATCGACGATCAGCAAATAATTCAAAATAATTATAGCAACATATAATTTACACATTATGATTACATAATACTGTATTTATCCGAAATACAAGATGCAATTATTTTTTTTTATTAAAGTTTTCACATAATAAACCAAGATATGTGATGTTATAGGACTCAAGTGCTTTGTGTGGTAATAAACTGCATCATTTATATTGGCGTC